TGTGTGAAATATACAGTGTAAAGGAATGGTGAATTCTACCAATTAATCTTTTCAGTACGCTTAAGTCAAAATAATATAGCTTAAGAATTTTGTTTATAAGTGCTGCTAATCTTGTCTAAAATTTTGCCGATTATCCCTCGTAGTCAAGTAAAAAATCATTGAAATTTTCAGCTATAGAAATTCTCAAAAGTTTCTTGGTGAAAGCGCTACTTGCGAGTAGATTATTTTCCACGTAAAAATAAGGAATTTGAGTTGAAAGCTTTTCTCAAAGCATCAAGTATCATGGAATTCTTAATCGATCACACGCCATTAAAGTAGAAAGTTGGATCAGACGATTCACTTCCCATCAGCACGGAGAGAGGCTTCACCTGTCTCCTCACATTTTGTCGCCGTGAGTTCTTGAAGCCGTTTGGGACCCGACTTTAAAATCACTTTGCGCGTAACTCCTCCAACTTCCTCGGGATATCCCAACTTGGGCCGAGCGACCAGTGGTCCTCAACCTGGGTCCCCGCGAAAGTAGTTCATTAATATTCCTCGAAGGGCGGAGAAGGCTACGTAATTTATATTATTTTTTCAATCTTGCTAAAATATTTGAGAAATTAATATTTATCGTTATTTTATTCAGACGAAATTAATCATGCCTATTGTGATACGTTGAGAATTGTGAAATTGCTTATCGTTGCTCTATTCATTCCTATGTTTTTTGGACGGAAAACTGAAGAAGATAACAGCTTTAACTTTTTGTGAAATATTCTTGTGCTGTAAAACATAAATGCAGAGCACACAATTTTAAGCGACAAATGTATTATTTTTCTTGAAGCAAAATAATCGATAATATTGAGTTCCGCGTGAGGCCTAAAGAGCACATATTTATAAATATAAAAAGGTTAACGTGGAAATTGAGATATATTGCCGTGCGAAGGAGGAACGCCATATGAATCTTCAGGCGTTGCCAAGTATCTTTTGATAAAATACAAATTTATTGAGAAAGTTATGAGTATTTTTCTTCCGATTTTTCAGACAGTATTCCTTGTAGTTTAATCTAGAATATCCGAAACTTTCAAGGACACATAGACCGCATAAGAGAGGGATTTTCATCGTACCATGCAAAAAATTAATTGAATTTCTTACAAAAACCCGCGCAACCGTTTTCATGTAAAACATTAAATTTCTCAATTAAATTTGGCATTAGCTGATGTTTCTTGGTTTCTTTTCTGCTAAACGCGGTTCAAATATACATAACTTCCTTCAAAAATAAACATTTTATCGGAGAAAATGCGGCAACTCTCGAATATTGATACGGCGTATTTCCTTAGCTCGACAGTATAGTGCTGTTAAAAAGGAAGAACGCCGTATGAACCTCAGACGTTGCCAAGTTTCCCCCCGATAAAAACCTAATTTACTGGGAAAATTGGGAATACTTTTTCCCAAAATTTTCAGACGATTTTGTACGCAATTGAATCTAAAATATCTGCAGATTCAAAGGAGAAATATGCATGAATGTCGTCAAAAATGCGTGTTTTACTAAGGGGAATGGGCCTGTTGCATGCAAGAGATACAGCCATGCGAATAGACTTTTTAGAGGTTAAATGACACGAAAATTACGATGGTCACATTGAAAAAGTCAGAAATACACTCCTTACTGCGCAATTTGCGTTGATAGGAACGCGCTTTTTCAAATTTCCCGCGTCTGAGGGCAGTTTTCTAACGGAAACAATTAACGGTAACTCGCGGCTATTTCCGGTCAACTAAAACTGACAACATAACCTAAAAATCGGAGCTCGTGATATCGTGAAATGAAATGTAGAAGGATTGTGTTGGATATTTAAAAGTTGATCGATTTGGTTACCGCATAAAGCGTATATTGACCACCATAAGAGATCACGTTGGGTTTGTAAACAAACTGAAGGAAAAAATAACAACCACAACAACGACTCGGCATCTTCCGGAAATCACTGAGCCCACCGTTTGCTCGTTTCCGGTGATTAGAAAACTGCCTCCAGACGCGGGAAATTTGAAAAAGCGCGTTCCTAACAATGCAAATTGCGCAGTAAGGAGTGTATTTCAGACTTTTTTAATGTGACCATCGTAATTTTCGTGTCATTTAACCTCCATACAGTATTCGCGCGGCTGTATCTCTTGCATGCAACAGGCCCATTTGGCAACTCTCGAATGCTCATACGGTGTTCTTCCTTAACACGGCAGTATATACGTTCATGCGTCAGAGAAGCGACGATTAGGGGATTTGGTAACCACTGAGCTGTCCTAGAGGTATGCTCGGCGTGTTGCATAGGACCCTTATCCGGGCGCAAATTAAGGAGCATCTCCTGCACCGTGCATTTCCCGGGGTTACTCCACGGAGGAGTCGAGCTACGGGCGGCGCATACAACAAAAGCATCAATCAATTAATTAAGCTAATAATCAATTTGCGCGGGCACATCACTGCTGCTTTACTCCACGGCTGTCTTCAGTCCCTGATCAGATGATGACTCTTCCTTCCTCTACAACATTACGCCGTGCCACCCCTTACCCCACCCTGAGTGAGCCTCTCTCCTCCTTCTGCCTTATGCACTTTTAGACCGTGTAGCTGTCAAGCGAGCGTGAATAACAAATGCATTAAGATCCTCGCACTGTTGCCGAACGCCTCCCGGCAAATAAGGACCGTTCATAAATTACGTAACGCTGTACTGTCGCACAATGGATCGAGTCAATGAGAGAGGTCGGACAAAATGTGGAAACTTCAAAAACGTATAACTCCGTTATATCAAAACTTTGAGATTTTCAAAATGGTTCCATTGGTTTCTTCGTGAAATGTTCCTCTAGAAATGCCCCTCGCAAATTTTAAAATGTGACGAATTAAACATCAAAATTTGCAGTTTAAGTAAAAAATGTCATGTCCGATCTCTCTGATTATCCACTGTGTGCCGTTCTAAGGAAAAACGCCAACTGAAAAAAATGGTTAGCTGTTTTAGCACCTACGATGCCAAAAATGTGTCTGGTGATCCTAAGATGCTGCCCTGATCGTCTAAGCAGTTGACTTTGCATTCACAAGATGTAAAGTTAACCCCCCCCCCCCAAGTAAAATACAAAAATAACTAGTAAAATATCACCATAGGGCATACCTTTGGGGCGTTTCTTGCTCATTCGGAGGGTCGTTCAGTGATTCAATGAATGGAGCACTAGACAAGGTACGTACATTGTATATATGAATTAAAGCACTACGTAACACAACCTCTCCTCAAAATTTCACGAGAAACACATAATACACAACGAAAAGGCTGGAAATCAACTTGTAAACAAAATACATATATTTAAAAATTTAACGTGAATAAATAGCAAAAAAACAAATGACGTCATTTGTATGATCTACCTTCCACTTGATCTGTGTAAAAAAATGCTTGTTAATGTTTGGTTCAGGAGTCAGTTTCCAATCTTCCCCAGTGGCGTGGTGCACATCTTTGCGATACATCGATTGATCTGTGTTTTAAACCTGTGGAAAAGAATCGATTAACAGAGTGTTCGCAACGAGAACCTCAATAATCGATTCTTCACCATAGTTTCAAAAGGGGAAATATCGATAATCGATCATTTACGCCTCCCCACCGACCTTCCCGTTGTGCAATTCGTTTCTTACGTAAAATTTTGAAGAGAAAACATGTGAAGTTTCCCTCTAGTTCAGACTTTGTCCAGTCACCTAGAATGAAACCTTGACAGGAAATGCGCCAGAATATTGTCTTGTGGGAACTCAATCAAAACTCAGTTGCGTTGTTTGAACCAATCAAAAATGGATTCCCTTTTCCCAGGAGGGAACGATATCCTCGCTCGAAGTTGATTCCCGAACTTTCCGTTGCGCCAATGACTTTTTCCGTAAAATTTCGAAGAGTAAACACGTAACAGGATGCTTTTAATTCGTACCCCATTAATCGATCCCTGGGACTTGCCCGAAGTTGGAAACTCGAGCGGCGACCCGGACCTAGGTAAATATTAACAGGAGAGTGAAGAGCAAACATGAAAAATCGAGAAGAGCGCACCATACCGTGCTAAGGAAGAACGCCGTATGAACATTTGAGAGTTGCCAAATTCCTCCAAATAAAACATGTATTTTTGAAGAAAGTTCTGGCGTATTTTTCCTCGACATTTTCAGATATTCTAGATTGAATCGCGAACAAAATTGTCTGAGAAATTGGAGGAAAAATATTTAGAATTTTCCCAGTAAATTCGGTTTTTTATCAAACACTGAAAAAAAATCTCGGCGTATTCACTAACAAAAGGGTAAAATTACCAAGAATTCAGGGTTCTATTTGATCCCAGTTTTTTCGTGGTAAAATTACCATTTGAGGAATCGGTAATTTTACCGAGAAATTTCGGTAAGATTATTGACTTTCTCGGTAATTTTACTGGACCCCGGTAAAAACGCCAATACGACTGTGATCGACTGTGGTAGAATTACCGAGATAAAATGGCAAAGTTACCGGGATTTGATTACCAATAAAAGTGGTATTCGTACCTGAAAAAAGCAGTAAAAATACCGGTTTTCAGGTAAGCTTACCAGTCTGTCTTGGTAAAATTACCAATAATTGGTAAAAAAGTGAGATGGTAAAGGTACCAACGGACCTTGGTAAAAACGCCGAGAATTTTTTTTCAGTGAAGGATATATGGATTGCATTTTGCAAAAAGGAACCACTAGCATTGCAATGTTGCCAAGATTGTGCAACTTCTTTTGTCTTGGAGGAAATACCCAATTGTCCCTTAATAGTTTCTATTTTACTCGCTAAAAACTGTAAATTTAAGACAAAAATTACCATCTAAATTTCATAATTTTTCACAATTTCCGCAATTTTATTGCAAAGGATGAAGTTGCACAATATTAGCATCATTGCAATGCTAGTGGTTCCTTTTTGCAAAATGCAATCCATATGGCAACGCCTGAATGCTTTTACGGTGTTGTTCCTTAGCACGGTAGCGTAGGAGGACGGTGACGAAGGGGGGAATGCGCGTACCTTGGCTAATTTATCTTCTGCTTTGTTGATCATAAGTTCTAAAGTTTCACGATGAGCGAAAACTTTTCTAGATTGTACTTTGCGGTGAAAGGAGCGCTCGAGGAGGGGGCGGGAGACCTGGCGCCCGAGAACGGAGGCCACGTCGCTGTGAGCCTGCGAGTCCACCTCCACCTCCTGCAGGAGGCTCTCCCATGTGTGCACCAAGGAGCTCGGACATGCCGGCCTGCGAACAAACAACACAACGCATTCATTTTTAATTCTGTACAATATATATTTTAAGTGACTTTGGTAGGTGATCGGGAAAACATGGAGTTGAAGGGTGGCGATCACGTGTCATGGTGTCAACATAGGCGGAACCAGAAACCTCGAACGGGGGAGGGGAGTAAGGGAGGCGTAAAGGGGGCTAAAGGGGGTGTAAGGGACTGTAAGGGAGGGCGTAGGAGGGGCCAAAGGGTGTGTAAGGCTGCAAGAAGGCTACAAACAAACAACACAACGCATTCATTTTTAATTCTATACAGTTATTTAACTGACTTTGGTATAGGTGATCTGGAAAACATTGAGTTGAAGGTGGGGATTACGTGGCATGGTGTTAACATAGGCGCAACCAGAAACCTCGAACGGGGGAGGGGGCTAAGGGGGGCGAGAAGGGGGCTAAGGGGGGCGTAAGCGGGCTAAGGGGGCGTAGGGGACTGTAAGGGAGGGCGTAAGGGGGACCAAAGGGGGCGTAAGGCTGCGTAAAGGGAGCGTAAGGGGGGAGTCTGGGGATCTTGTTCAGAAAATTTTCGAAATTTTATAGCAGCATATATGCAGTATGAATCAGTTTTGTCATGAATAAGTGTCAAAAATAGGCCTACCGTACCAAATATGTTTTCCTCCTTCTCTCCTTCATTTCTTCCGTTTTTTCTTTCTTTCCTCTTTCTTACTCCTTTTTTCCGGGCGAACTTTTTGGCGCGTATACGTAGTATACCGCCTTTGCGATCGTTTCGACCCCCCCCCTCGATACAATAACCGAGTCCCCTAGTTCCTTACCGAAAAGTGACTACCGCGAACTTCTGAGATTTTCCAAAGCGTGTAAAAAGTTTACTAATCCGTCAATAATAATGATTAAAATTTGTTTCTCATTCTGGGGCTCGCTAGTTTATGTGTAATGAATACCAAGAGTCTACGTTTCTTGGTTTTTTTTAAAAAAACCTTAGAATGGGGCGCGCTGATTTAAAATATGCATATATAAGCGGAAGCAAGCGAACTGATTCGAGGATGGCTGACCAGTTCGGCACTCCTTGAATGAGAATTTCACTCACTCCGTNTTCCCCCCTTCCCTTGGTTCTCCCTATGGGTTTCAACGATCATGGTGTCATCAAACAGTTTTTCTAAGTTCTTGTTCACACCATGGTTATCCAAAAATAAAAAATTCTGCCTCCTTTGAAAGATGAACACGGTGTCAAACAAACTTAAAACTTCCCTCCTTGTCATGTTTCAAGTTGTAAGTCATGATCAACTCGTGTTATTTACTCTTACCTGGCCTAGCCTAACCCTACCCAACTTTACCTAACATAACCTACCCCAACTTTACCTAACATAACCTACCCCAACTTTACCTTACCTTACTAACACCGTATAAAGTTACCAGGATGGGCAGCAGAGCAATGGCTGCGTGCGCACACTTTAAGTTTTTTAATCGACCTAAGACCAGTAGGTACTTGGATGTGCGGTTGACTCCCAGGATGGAAAAACGGATCAAGAAGCGATCGGAGAAAGGGGCACCCTAGGGAGGAAGACTGTAGAGATTCCTAATGGACTCGTTTGGGATCAACGAATTTCGCGAGAAAACAAATAGCAGAATTTTCAACGCCGTAGTCAAAAGTATTCTAACATACGACACTGTGGCGGCTAGGTATCGCAGAGCGCAAGAGAGAACTGTGAACGCTGCTCTTAGGTACGTGTTAATTTTTATTCGGAACACAGGCGCACACGTATACCCTTAATCTAGTTACCGGAGCAGTGCCCGCCAGCGTCAACGTCTTCTGACCCCTCTCAAGTTTGAATGGAATCAAGACAAACAAACGCCAGGAAACGAAGAGGCCTTTTGAGCCCGTCCGTGCTGAGACCGAACATACATGCCCATTGTGGTATGAGCTCTGGAGTAAAGGCATTCTAATGGAGCTCAAGGCTCATGAAGTAATGGGCTGGTTAGATTTGACCATTCACCGATTCTTATATTATTGAGTTTGGATCAAGGTGGAGGAAATTTCAGGGCGTCCCTCTGGGAGTCGCAGGTCGCAGCGAGGTGGTATTGAAAGTTGCCTGGTTTCAGGGGTCAGTTGACGGTCACCTGTATGATTCAATTTCTTCTCTGAGAAAGAACTATGATTGAAATTGCCAAATCAGTAGTTTTCCTTGTGAACTCTTTATTGATAGTTCAGTACCTATACCAAGGACCATTGGGTCATAATTTTACCCCTATGGTGAACACTCCGCATCTTCATAGTTTATGTTTATGGTTATCAAAGAGATCATTTTGAACTGGTGAAAATATTACCAGCTGGTAAAAATACCACTCCATTTAAGGTTAGTAATGACTAATATTAATAAAGAGCTCTTATGACAGGTAAAATGTATGATCAAATAATAATAAATTAACTACTTTCATTGATTACTCCAATCATAGCTTTCCTCAGTGCAGTACAAGACCACAAGAAAATCTAGGAGAAAGCGTAAATTGTTAGGCGGTCCAAACCCGTTTACTAATTGTTGAAATTTCAGAATCCTCCATTTCAGGGGCATTCAACTACACAAACACGTTTAGAATTATCTTATTTTCAACGTGGTATTAATCAAAGTTTCTAGGACCATCTTATAATTGGGGCCTTAGAGAGTGTGAGTTAGTAATTCGTTAAACGGGTCTATTGGACGCAAGCAACACAGCTAACTTTGTAACTTTTGATCAGTAAAATCGCAAAGAAATCATGTTGAGCATATCAGAAATGTCAAGAATATATTATGTCTACCCATTATATTTTACGTACTCTCAAATTTATCGCGTACGCGATTATATATCCAAAAAATCTGTACTTAGTTCGCTAGTAGTGGCGTGGCGTGCTTTGCTATATATCGCTTGATCTACTATTTTAACCTAAAAAAAATGATCGATAAACTGGGCGTTCGCAACGAGCACCTCAATAATCTAGTCTTTACCATAGCTTCAAATGGGAAAAAATCGATATACATCGATAATCGATCATTCGCGCCTCGTCACCTTTACTTGCACCTCCAGTGTGCAGCAGAATTTGTTCATCCTTACACTTCCCGGTTTTTCTTATTCCTGAAGCTCTGAGCCCTCTTTCATAGCGTCAGAGAGTTGCTCGAGAAAATAGTGTTGAAAAGGATCTCACAGAATCTTGCGACCTACAACAGCCGATATCGCTCTGAACGCAACAAAGGAGCCTCCGCGGAGAGATGACTCGTGTACATAGGAGGAAAATAAAATGCATGGATGAAAAATATCCGGGGGTCACCATCACTCTCGCCCGCAGGCTGCAAAGATGCTGCGGGTGTATTCTTCCGTACTAAGGAAGAACGCCGCGCGTATGAACCTTCAGGCGTTGCCAAATTTTCTGTGATAAAACACAAATTTCCTGCACTGGAAAAAGAAACACATTGGATCTAGGTTCCAGACTCTTAAAAACATCGACAAGAAAAAATACTCTTGATTCAATCAGACATAAGCTTAAACCAAGAACCAAGCCTCTTAATTTGAGCGGATTTCCTTTCGATTTAAGCTTAAATCTGATTGAATCAAGAGTCCTTTTTCTTGTCGATGTTTTCAAGAGTCTGGACTCTAGATCCAATGTGTTTTTTTCAGTGTGGTAAACTTATGAATATTTTTCTTCCAACTTTTCAGATAATTTTGCTCGCAATTCCACTAAAAAGTCCTGGAAATTTCAAGAGAAAACGCTCATAACTTCCCTCGAAAATAAACATTTCATCGAGGGAAATTTGGCAACGCTCGAATGTTCATACGGCGTTCTTGCATAGCACGGGTGTGTTCGAGGCTTAGGATCAAGCCCGCTGCCGTGGACACTGAATGCGGTGAAAGGAAGCTTTAAGCGCCATACTTTTGACCGCGAAACCTCTCGGACCACGGCGCAACTTCTAGCCGTGACGACGCTGACACACGACCGAACTTTATGCAAAGTTCGTCGCTCCTCTCACGTAAGCGCGTATCTCAATTTTCACGTGAGCCTTGCGCTCCTTATAGCTCTGGGATTTTCGGGGCTCATGTGGAGATGGAGATACGTCTTTACGTCAGAGGAGAGACGAGTTGTCGGACTGGATTAAGGCGGAGTTTTTTCCTGGTGCTCTTGCCTAAGTATTTCGAAACAGGCTCCGCCTAACGGAAACTGGATTAAAATGAGAGATAGGGACTTATTTGCATTACACATGGGAGGGGGTTGTAGAGGCTCCGAAATTTAGGGGTTCGTGGCCTCCGAGAAAACAGTGCAAGCTTGCCAATTCAAAAGTGAGGGGACTGAAGACATTGTCCAAATTAATACGCGAGAGTTGGGACTATGGAGAACGGTTTCGAAGAAAATTCGAATTAAATATATTTCGCAATAAGACGTCATTCTAGATTAAATGCTTCATTATCATTGAAATTTGTCGTTGAAGCCAGGCAAAGTATTTTAAAGAATCCTCACTGGGTACATCCAAGCGATGTTAGCAAGGGAGGCAAGGGATAATGTTAGGGAATCAACACGTGTTTCTCGCCAAGAGATGACCCAGGGGCTGTATTTGCAGTCATTCCTTGATCAGCTTCCTTCCCGAGGGAGGATCGATTCATACGGTTTACATTTTGATGAAGGAAGATGCAGGGAGGCCCTCGACATAATTTCATAAACGGGATAATTTAGATCATGTTTGCCACAAGCAGTGATGTAGTTGTCGTTCTCACGGTATACTTTGCCCACTTCACATCACCTCTAATGAGAAATTCGGTCGATCTTCAAGAAAAACCAGACACGAGACGAAACAATAGCATTGACATGAGGAGGTGTTGTAATCTCGTTGAGGCCTTAAATTTTTTATTCCTTCGATGAAAATGCGTGACCGACTTCGACTCGCTCACGATGGCAAACGCAAAGTCAGCGGTAATTTCGGGAGAAACGCGGCCCTCAAGAGGTCCTGAGTGGAGGCGTTTTAACTTCATTTTTCCTCTCGTCAGCCCCATGAATTCCTCATAACACTCCGCCAGGTTGAGGAGAAACATCGTGTGAGCGTCCAAACATTGTCAAATATCAACTAATAAAATGAGAATTTTCAAGAACACCTGCGTGTATTTTCCTTTTGGATTTAGAGGAGCAAGTCTACGTATCGATGCTAAAACTCCTCGAGTATCGACGCTGAAAGTCGGCAATCACATAACTCGATTTGCGACGTCGCAGACTTCCTGTCTTACTTTATTTTTTAAACGGAAAACTACTCAACGGCAATTCTTTAAAACTGCCGTGATTTTTCCTCTCAGTGCGTAGAAAATTCTGCAAAAACTTTAAGGAATGATGTGAATTTGTTCTCCTGTAAAAAATAACATAAAGGCGGAAATTTTCAGACACCGCAAACGAGTTATGTGATTGCCGACTTACACCGTCGATATATTCTTCGGTAATCGGTAGGGTTTAAGTTAAAAAATATTAAAATACTCAACTAACGAAAAATCTCAATTTTGAGCGAGAATTTCTTACTGATATCGTTACTAGATTCATAAAAACACGCGAGTTTTCAAAAACCTCCGAAAAAAATTGCACACGGAAAAAAAATTGCTGAAGTAAAATCATCCCGAATGTTAAGAATTTGTGTGACAACTTTTAAATGTTGATCTGGACGCTACGACTGTAAGAGTAACATCCTAACTACGTTGATTTAACAGCAGTAGCGTTCAGATCAACATTCAAGAGTTGTCGCACAAATTATAAACATTCGGGATGTTACTACCGCAACTCTTTTTTTTTTTGGCCGTGCAGCGTTGCGGAAACTCAGGATGATTTTAAAAACACTCTCAGGAAAATTTTGTCGAGCAGGTTTGATGTTTAGCGAAGAAAATGTTCGCAAATTTATTTTGGCTCTTACAGTTTGTCGCGTGGATCAAGAAAAATGGTTACATGGGCTATTTTTCTCTTGAATTATACGTGTTTCTGCCTTTTGGTAGTTGAACTGATATAAATCCTCGAATCGCTGCAACAACATAGTGCTCTATTTTAAAGATGACGAAATGAAAGCAAAACCCCCTATTGTGAGTGCTTAAATCACGAGTTCTCTCAAAAAAAAAAAAAAATTTCATCGGTAAGAATTAGGCAACATTTAGGGGCTCATACGACGTTCTTTTTACGACGGTAGCACTGACATCCGCCCGCACTTGAGCTGATTCGACGCCGCTCTCAACGTTCATTATTCAAAAGGGGAACGAGATAATTAGACAAATTGGATGTGTCGAGGCCAATAAAAGTCGAGCCCCATCTACAGAGCTATTAGGGAATTTCTTCGACAAAAATACGTGTCTCTAAAGTTTGGAAAAGGAAACGATGTTGTTGAGATTGGAACATCTCCCAATTAGTAAGGCGGTTACGGCCAAAACCCAATTTTTTATTCATGTGAAAAATAAGAATGGGAATATTGATGCCCTGAGGGAAAAATCACACCTTATTGTGTTGCGTTTGGATTGTTAAATTCCTAGCGTCTGATACTCACTAATTGACGATTTAATATTGATTAATTAACAACTCTGAAACGGCCTAACTTAGTTTATAAAAACTTCTAAAAGTTAAAATTATATTGACCGCCTGTTTTAAGATTATGGAAATCTCACTATATATTTAAATTATGTATGTGTTATAGGCAAAAAGTAAAATCAGGCATTTCGTCGAATGCCTAGGCAAGTAGTCAAATATTCTTACGTAGATTGAAATTTTGATTTTTTTTCCTATTTTTAGAAAAAATAATTAGTTTTTCCAGTAAGAAAGAATTCTCTGTGAACATATGCAGCATACAATAGTATTTTAAACGATTTTTAGTCCCTGGATGCACATTTAGAAATCAAACTGACTTTTTAATGCTTAAAAGATGGAATTTGGGAGCGAATTTTTCACAAAATATGTATTAAGACTAGTTTTACCCGAAATCATCAATATCTCAATTTCTTCAAAAGCTCCACTTATGCGCATTGTCCTTTAAGTCCCGTATTCATATTCATACCTTTGAATCGACTTTCTCCAATTCCTGACAAATTTCCATTTTTAGGGTGGATTCTTTCTATAACACAGTTATGACTGAAGACATCACAGTGAGTTTTTGGGGCGAAACGCGGCATTTTTCAAACGGCCAACGCAATACATTCTAAAAATCAACGGCTCTGAAAGGAGGCCGAAAATACAAGATTTGTGAATCAGGTTGACGCTTGGTGGCATCCCTATCCGGAGGAAACGGAGAAACTTTTTCCAAAATGAAATTACGGCCGTAGCCAAAGTTTACCTTTCTTTTCTGAGCTCAGCGTTTTTCTTCCTGAAGTTTGCGACGAGATGCTGTAACTCCTCGGCGTGCTGCTCGTACATTTTGGACAGTTCTTGCGTGAAATCGGAAACTGAAACAAAAGAAACAACGTCCAGACTGATGAAAGGCTAGCTTTTGATCGCCATCGCTCATCATCGATGAGGCATGATACGCTGCGCCAAAGTCTTAACAATACGAAAATCAAACCACTACGCGCTGTAGTTGTCTGTTGTAGGAAAACACCGTTATCCTTTTCTAGATTTTTTAGTTATTTCTCTACCAGATTGCTCTTTCTTGATACCAGTGATTTATTGTACATCTAAATGACTGTCAAAAGACTGTCTCACTACTGAAAATTCATACTGAAATGATGAAGCACGAGGGTAAGCGTAACCTAGGAAACATACATAGATACAAGAAATGTCTTGTCATCATAAAGTACAATATAGGGGTCATTAGTAAAGGGGTACTTTGTACCCCAAAATTTTTCTAGAACTACGACAAAAAAAAATTTGAACGATCCTTGAAAGAGTCATTAAATAAAAGTACGTTGCAGAGTTTTAAAACGTAAAGATATGTATTTCTCAAATACAAGCCTACAGGCATTACATACAGTAGACAAAATAGGAGAAAAAAGGTAGAAATGGTACGTAAATAAAATTGAGAAACTAGGAATTGCTTCCCGCCACGAAAAATGGGACCGATTTCCATGGAGCAGTGCGGGCCTTTACCAATGGATCCATTAGTAACATACCCGCTGCAAAACGACGGGAAAGAGTAGTGTACACTACTAACGTGGTGAACGCTCAAAAAATGAAGCATGAGATTAAACCAAGCAATATTTGATGCAGAAAGACTGATTCTAGGAAGTACAGTTCATTTGAATTTAGCGTACCCATAATAGTCATTTACAGTAAAATGCATTGAAAAAATGTCACATTTGAGTCGAAAATGACCCGATCTCATTTCTAATACGAGGACATGTATATTGTTATTTTTTGCAGCGTATATAATACGCGAGAGAAATCGAAGAGCTTGGGATGACTTTCGAGTAAAAAAATATGTCGAAGGTAGACAAGCAGGCAATCACACATACAGCTGCAGAATCAATATTTGATTGGCATGAACAGGTTAAAAGGGAAACAAAGGTTGAAAAATCACAGACCAAGTTGACCAAGCCCGGAATATTTTATTATTCAGGTCAATTAAGCTCATGGACTCGATCGCAGGCTCCAGAGTGATATTGATGAGTTATTTTGCGCTGTCATTGCACGCGACCTCTCGTTACTGTGTCGTCCGTATCGGTGCTTGGGCGAAAATATTTCCGACAAATTATGGAGTTTAAAATTATCATGAGCCGCATACTGCGAGCTAAAGTTTTCTAATTTTCACCACTGTTGTTCCCAGGCGTTTTAAATTAAACGGCTTCGTCGGTTAAATACGCATACAAAGTGATTATAACAGGTTCTCGTTCTCTACTGTGTACACTGCAGATTTTTTAAATATTTTACTACACAATGTCATAAATCACCTCATTCCATTTCAATTTTTTCTGCAATTCCTGTAATGTATCCCCCCTCACCGTCAAACACGCGATTATAGACTGCTCTGTCCTCTAGTACCTCCGCCCACAGGTTTACTTTAGTCGTGTGGCGTGAACAATCGATTATCGATATTTCCCCATTTGAAGCTATAGTAAAGAATCGATTATTAAGGTGTTCGTTACGAATTCCCTGTTAATTGATTATTTTCCATAGGTTTAAATGGCAGATCAATCGATATATCGCAAAGCACGCCACGCCACTGATTTACTTTCCAACAGTCAATTGGGATACAAACCCTCTAACCTGCGATGACCTAAATGCTACAACCAAAATTTTGAAATTCTTTGCTTCCGTTAAGTTTAGAATCTAAATTTTTGTATATGCACTCACCCTTCGTATTTTTTGTAAGGACATTAATAGTCTGAGATACTGAATGTCCCTAATGAGATTAAATAACTAACTAACCAAATGTTTTAATTATGGATGTATATAGATGATCTATGGTAAAAAATCCTACTCTAGAGAGACTGTGCGGATGATTACGGAGCGCATTTAGGAAATTGAACAAAAAGGCCATGAAATAATGAATGCCCTAAATTAAGATGAAGAAAAAAATATTTTAAAAGCAAAATATATTAAAATTAATAACAGCGAATATATTTTTCCCCCGTTAAACATGAAAACTACAGGTTGATGAGGAACAATATTTTCTTTAAATAAGAGCATTCACTAATTTTATGTGCCCTTACTCATCGCACAAACGACATATTTCCCCAAACCTCACTCATTTTATTATAAACCTATTTTCCCACTCAAATGCGTCACAATGAGCCTTCCAAACTTGAATCGATGAGCCTTTTCTTTTTAAAAATAGTGGGGCCGATAAGTGGAAAATATCATAAGAATCGTGCACTTCTGGAAGAAAGCATGAAAATTTCAGGGATTCATCTCTACCCTATAGACATTCGATTCAGACATAGACCCCAAAAATCTGAGCCCCCTGGGGGGGCAGGGGGGCCCCCAAATTTTGAATTTTGAATAACTACTNATAAGGGGGGTTTTGAGCAGCTAGATTGGGGGTTTGACACACTGTGCGGCCGCGCCGCAGCGCGAAATGCCTGGTGCCTACAAACCTAAGGAGATACTTCACGCATTACGCAATGCGTGAAGTATCCCCTTAGGTTTGTAGGCGCCAGCGAGCCTTCCGCGCTGGCAGCACGCGCGCCGCGCACCGCTCCACTATGTGGTTGGTTTTAGTACTTAGACTCAGCGTTTTTCAACTCATGATTTTGAAATGCTTGCGCACTCTGCGTGGATTATTCTCATTTAAATTGATGGCGGGGGGGGGAATATGTATAAAAGGAAAATAATATGTATAAGCTTTTACATAAGAATCAAATCGCACAATCCTCACACATCCTCCTTGAATTCCTCACACATGCAACATCTGCATTAAAACACAGAAGAAAGTTGCTTTTTGATCATTATTTCCAAATGTACAAAGCATTGTTTCACTGTCATACCCCCAATGTCTTCTTTGTCTATAGCTCTGTTTATATATTTCCATAATCAGCTAGCTAGGAAGTATCTGTTAACGACTTGCGAGAATCGTCATTGTAAGTGCGGTTAATTATAAGTTTGTTACCATCATGAGTATGGCAGGACGTCGCTCCTGTAAAGTAAGAGTGCATCTCGATTTCGGGATGGGCCTCCATGAGCGTAGATTTACATGGAAAATAGGGATCATGCGGAAACCGAGATACGCCCTTAGGATAGTGACGATAATTATAAAGCAAATAAAAGCAAAATAACACAATGTCGTTTTTGTCAATTTTTAGAGAATTGCAAAATTCTGTAAATTATTTTTGGCACGATGACCAAATTAAGCTAACTCTTCAAACTGGAAAAAAAAAACACATTGGATCTAGAGTCAAGACTCTTAAAAACATCGACAAAAAAAAGTACTCTTGATTCAATCAGAATCTAGCTTAAAAGAACCAAGACTCTTATTTAAGCTGATTTCGTTTTGATTCAAGCAAAAATCCGATTGAATCAAGAGTATTTTTTCTTGTCAATGTTTTCAAGAGTCTGGACTCTAGATCCAATCGGTTTTTTTTTTTTTTTTTTTTTTTTTNTTTTTTTTTTTTTTTTTTTGCAGTGCAGTGCAGCCAATTCAAAAATCAAAATTTCCTTGTATTAGTACGCAAATTTCCTTAGTGGAAAAATGAATTTTTGCCTTTTTGATCCTGACTGTCTTTCAATACAATATATTCTATTAGGATGTATGCTCTAAGTATTAATCTCAACACTTCAATGGTGCAAGTTCAAGTAAAGTCACCGCGCTGACTACCAAATTAACAACTTAATCTGAAGAGAGGCTGCAACATCAACACTAAAGATTAACAAAAAAAAATAACCCCAAAATGTTTCGAAATATATGAAAATTTCATTTTCAACTCGACAAAAAAAGGCAAGAGAATGAGTTGTCGATTTTCTACTATTGCAAGACCGAGACTCAAGGACTTTAAACGGTCTCGTAATAACAGCGAATCGGCATCTTCATTTTCTCGCCTTCTTTTGTCCGGTTGCGAATGAAATTGCCATATATTTCGAAATGTTGCGAGTTTTTTTTTTTTTTTTAATTTTTGTGTTGTTTTTGCTGTTTGAGCCTTCCCACAGATAAAGTTGTTATTTTAATACGTGATATGGCTGATCAAGTCGTTCTTCATTCGTACCAACTTTTCTCGGCCAAGTTCAAGGGCATAAAGCCCAGTGGGAGAATTTATAGCAAAGTTCGGCATCCTCGCGTTTCGGGTCCAGGATCCCGCGGTTCGTTTGATTAGACCTCCAGAGGCTTATCAGCGTTTCTTTTATCAGATCATGCCCGGAAGATGATGCTCCACGTCTTGGCGGCATAATAGCGGGTCTCTTTTATGATGCTCCGTTCTCCCCTCTTTTTTGCTAATTGGAGGGTATTTTGAAAGTTTTCGCCAAAGTCAAGTCTCGCTTCTGGCAAAGGACGATAAGGATCCCTCGACGAAGCATCCTCCACTCCCCCCCCCCCCCCCACCAACACTCTCACTCGACCTTGCGAAGTAGAAACCGCGCAAACTACATTGGGATCTTACGTAAGTCCGCCGTTCTATCTTGTGGAGTAGCATTAGTTTCGCATTAAGGCCGCATTTTGACGGTGAGATTAGGAAAGCACATATCTCGACCCGAGGCGTTTCAAAATTTTTGCTCCCGTTATTATTTTTTTATCAGTGGCGTGGTGTGAATTGCGATATATCGATTGTTATGCCATTTAAACCTATTAAAAAAGATCGATTATCAGGGTGTTTGCAGCGAACACCTTAGTAATCGATTCTTTACCATAGCTTCAAATGGCGAGATATCGATAATCGATTATTCAAGCCACGCCACTGTTTTTTATCCCCAGTTTGACAGCCCCGGGTCTTTTAGATCTGAGTGTATCGACGCGGTGAAGCTACCAGAACACGTAACTCGTTTGCGGTGTTTAAAAATCTCCGCTTCCATTTTATTTTTG